AGAACAAGAGGTCGTCCCTGGCAAAGAAGTGGTGATTTCCAGCCACCAGGCCATAAGAACCTCAAATTGAGAACCGTCTGCCATATGCTTATAAAGTTACAACCCCCCCCCAAAAAACGGCTTGGATCCCCAAAAGGATCTGATCAGGTGTTTCGGGAGTGCTTCAACCCGCGGCCGGATTGCGCCAACGAAACCCACGAAAAGAATCGGCATAAAAGCCATCCCTTCGCTGTCACGAACCTGACATTTCCACTCACGAGGGAAAGGCACGACATTGCGGCCTCAGCTATCCATGCGGCTTTTCTGGTCTCGTGGTGCGACAAAAGGCAGTTGGACCGCTTTGAACGGGCGACCCATCTCAGATTTAATTAATGGGCCAAGACTCCTCATATGCGTGTGTCGCTTTTCGGGGACCCACAAAATGGCGGTGATTCTCATGGTTTCTCTTTAAAACCGCCACCAAAGGGGTACCCAACAACAGACAGACCCATATTATGTGTTTTGTCAAATGAGCACAAAGAGGGCCGTACCCTCCCACATGGAAGTGCACAACTCTTGGAAGACGAAGATGTCCGGAAAGGTTTGCACTTCCACGTCTGGGAGAGTAAATCCTTTTGGCACATACCCAACTGCCGTGGGCAAACGAGAGCCACGCAAAAATGAATCCAGAGAACCCGTCTAGCCAATACAAAGCATGGTTGGAATGGGTGTTGATCGTGGCTCACGATTCCGCATGGGAGATGTGAGTTGAGGAGTGGCGCCCTGCCCATTGGACACGGGCGCTCGGGTGAGACTGGCTACGCTTTTCGCGTCGACGCGTTCGAAGTGCCGGCAGTGAGAACGAAACCATTTCAACTGGCTTGGCCGCTTGGCGTTTTGAGGTACCACCAAACTTAGGTTCCATGTTCCAGGCAAGTTCCATCCAAGATCTCAACTCTTGACGCAAACTCCAACAACCTGAAGTCGCACGAGCTTCGACTGGCTTCTTATCCCGAAAACCAACTCAGAGAATTCCCCAAAAAGCGATCGGGATTGGGACACCTGCAGTCCATTTACCCAACATGCGTGTGCCCTTGTTGGGGTCGAAAGGGGAGAACATGTTTGACACATCATACTGTGGCGCACATCTGAAGTACACCAAAAATGTTATTCAATGATTATGTTTCATGTTGGTTTAAAATATACAAAGATGATTTGGAGGAAACCCTAGATATATCTTGGTTGCTGTTGACCCCTTGGGTTCTGTTCATTTCAGTAGGGGCCTGCAAAAAAATCAATATGTTTGCAACTATACCAAGGGTCGTGAAGTTTTCAGCTGTTTGGAAACCATATTTTGTCTTTTGGCTCCAGCAGGTGATTGCCGGATTAATTTCCAGGTCCGTTGGGGCTTCCCTTCAGAAACAAACAACAAAGGTGCCGATTCCCTTTCGCCCATGGAAGTTCACTGGTCCGGGAGATTCGGGTACCACTTTCAGTGAAGGAACCCCGCGAGGAAGTAATCATGGCAATCAACCACTTTTTGTGTGGGTATGTATCTATATACATATATCAGATTCACATGGAACCTGAGCCCGTTTTGGCCCCCATTCCCTTGACCCCAGAGTTCGCCTGGGTGTGTCTTTCTTGAGGCCACCCTTTTGTAGTTTTCATGGGAAACCAATATTACACCTACCATGTTGGGGGTCCCCTTAAAAAAGGATACACCCACCCAGCCTTGGCCAGATCCGAAGTTTCAACCAAAAAGATATAAAGTCTAAAGATCCAGCCAAACAGCCACAAAGGATACTCGCATACAGAAAAACTAGGTCCTGCAGTAGAGAGGTTAGAATAAGGGTACCCTTTTTTTCTGTAGTTTATTTTAGTAGGGTCCCGAACCCTCCCAACCAAAAAAGAAACGGTAAAAGGGCACTACTGGACCTAGAAAAGGACAAATCAACGACTCAGTGTCTTTCACACGGCCAACGAAACCTCACGTGGCGATGCCGGCGCCCTCATCCCCCGGAAGGCCGCTGGCCGCGTTTCTGGACCAACCTCGGAACCGTGAACCGCGCTTGTGCCGAGCGCGACATGTGAAGGGAACCGACCATCAAGTCGAATGGTTTCTATTTCCTGTTTTAGTTCCTGTCTTCATTTTGGGATATTGCGATAAACGCTCACAAGCTTACTTCTTCCACCTCCGTTTGCGCTTTCGTCCCCTGGAAGTCATGAGAAAATATGCCCAGTAAGGATAGATTCACTTCAAAGCCAACAGGTAGAAGTAAAACATGTCTTAAGCAAATGGAAGTCAAGCCAAATGGTTTTTACTTCCTGAGTGGATGGCCCAACAAGTCTTAAGCCTGTTTGTACGCCATGGTCCGAACCCAAAAAGTCTTGAAAGTCCATAACCAGGAAGTGAGTTGGTTGGTTTCCTTTCAGCTTCCCTTCCCTTCCGAAATGCGGGATTCCCCAAAAAAGCGACATAATAAATGAAGAACCCCCAATATGGCGACGCGAGTATGCTCCAACTGTGCCACCAGCTTGGAGCTTTGGCTTTAAGATGCTTCCAATGTTTGGTTTCCTTTTCCTTCCCAAAGCAAAATCGAGCTCAAGCAAAAGACAAAATCCAGATGCTTTATCTACCTGGACCCTCGGACAGACGTTGAAAACACTGATTTTCGCCCGAAATGTAAGGGTGATGTCAACATGCTTCAACGGGTAGTTTGAGGGTCCACGTACTCATACCTTTGGTAGGGGTTCACATTCATGAGAGTGGCCTCTGAGTGGTCTCCTTTTGATGGATGTTTGGCTAATTTCCTGTAGAACATCCTGTGGCTGGTTTCCATGATCTGATAAGGGAACTATAATCCCAGTTAACCCATCTAGAACGCAGCCAGCAGTGACACAGTGACACATGACACATGACACACCCACACCAAAAAAAGAAACAGCCTGGCTTGGATCGATGCCGAACTGGGAAAAGCGTGAAGTTGCCCTTGGGATGATTCACAAACTCGGCCCGCGGCAAAAAATAAACACAACACGCGCCATGCGATAGGTCTCTAGACAGCTGCGTTGCATCGCCCAAAATCAACCTCAAAAACGCCATCCATGCCTCAGTTGCAGAATCTCACTCAGAAATGGTGCCGCATTCGTTGAAATCTTGACTGGACCCGGCAGATCCGGGCGTATCTCCTTCAAGAGTCATATCTTGGCTCCCTCTTGAATGTAACCCATCAACCAACCAGAAGATCTTTCATTAACCCATCATTAACCCATCATTAACGCATTAACCCATTAACCCATCAACTCCCTCAAGAGTTCAAGATCTTTCCCAGTACGCCTTGCGCACAAGAACCCTGGCGGGCGCTTGAAGCCTCGCTATCTTCAACCCAAGCTCGAATCCTGAATCGGGGGGTCAACGACTACCTATTTACCTGGCTGCACTTCCTGAGTGGAGTGGCCAGAAAACGTCTAAACTTGTTGTTTACCACTAAAATGGTCCAAACCCAAAAATTAAAAGTGGAGTGATTGGCATCTGGGTTGGACATCCGAGCCGGCGCACCTTTTTGGACTGTCCAAATTCCAAGCCAGCTTCAGGTTAGAATCGCTGGCCTTGCGGCCGAGCTGTGGCAAGGTCTGTTTGCCGTGTAAGGACGGCAGGCTGCGCTGGGCGTTGAGTTGCCGGGAGGACGGTCGCTTCGCGATGTCCTCGCAGAGGGTTGTCTTTTTTTTCTGGCCTGCTTGTGCGATAGGCAGGGAATGAGAAATGGAATGACACCTATGAACCATTCCCCTGGTGGTTTCCGTTAAGAAAATTTCCAGGTTCATTCCCATATTCCCTGCCTATCGCACCAGCAAGCTGGGTTCCCAACACCCCCCCAAACGCAACAGCTGGATCACCTCATGGAAAGGCCGGTCTGAAAGGCGATTCGCGAGTCGGCCACGCCAAAGCCCAGCCAAGCTGTGTGTTTGATGACAAAAACAAGGATATCAAACAAAACACCCAGATTGCTCCAAAAATCATATAGTCTTCTCTGGCGGTCTTTGAAACTACGTTGAAACAAAACCAAGGTAGCTGCTTCTTGTACCCCCTCCCCCCCAAAAAAAAAAACGAAAAGCATGAACAAGTCCAGTCATCCTCTTGCAGGGCAAGAAGGGGTCTGCCCGGACACGTTGAAGCAGGGCAAACATGTCCCCCAGGAAAACAAGCATAGAACCTCCATATTCCCTTCAAGAAGAACATGATTTAAGTTTAGGAGCCCTTGCCTTTTGTTTTTGGGGAGGCTGGGAAGCTTACACCCTGTAGCAAGGCATCGACGAGTACCCAGTCCTTGATCTCCTCAATCTTGAACCGGCCCGCAGGATAAATGCCACCGCCTTTTGGCCCAAGCGCCCACTCGGCCCCTTCCACCAACATGGGGGTGCCTTCTGGGGAGCACGGGCGGCTGGGGAAGTAGGCCCCCAGCTCGCGCAGGGCCTTCTGCGTGGCGGAGTTGGCCAACTGCAAAGGGACCTGGTCTTGGCTGTCCTGCGAGACAACTTGGTCCAACTCCCGAGGTTTGAGGCTTCTACTCACTTTCTGAGTGGATTGGGGGCACTCCCGAGGTTTGAGGCTTCTACTCACTTTCTGAATGGATTGGGCCAGCCACTAAAACGGCCTTCTCGCAAAGGAAGAAAGTCCAGGAACTCAGGGAGTGACTTTAGATTGGTAGCCACCAAACGAAGACGGCAAGTTGAATGGATGAACATGTTTGACAGTTTGGTTTTGGACAAGCCGGCTTTTGAGCCACGCATCAGGGAATGTATGAAGCTTTGATCTCGGGGGTCAGCGGGCTTGCCTTGCTTAAACGTGTTTAAACACCCACTGTGAAAGGGGGCTGTGCTCACGGACCTTTTCACGCACTTCGTGATGGTATTGGGGAAAAAAGGTATAATCTGTGTGCTATCCAGTAACATGGTCTTTGTATGTAGTTTAAAGTCCGGGAACTCGGGAAGCCATCATTCTCTGAACAACCTGGAATTGCTTAAATGCTTGGCAACCTATGTCCAGTAGCGATAGATTCCCATTGAAACCAACAGGGGAGAATAAAGCATCTCAAGCAGATGGAAGACAATCTGCCTGGGTGTCCTGTATCGACCCAAATTCGGTTTGGAGCATAGGTGCCATTTTGTTAAAATAGATGGCCCTGTAAATGGGGCATAACCAACTTCTAAATCAGTCAGATACATCTAATTCTAACCCAACCAAGCTGAAAAGGACACTTATTGAGGTTGAAGCCAACCCAACCCTCCTTCTTGTTCAAGTCGGCGCGGTAGTCCATGAGCATCCGCACTGCACGTACTGAACCTCACTTTGGTTGTCCCTTGATTTTGCTTGGACAAGGCCATCAGCTCCGGTAGGCCTTTTCCAGGTAGACTGAACAAAGGAAACCAAACCATCAAACCTGGTGGGGTAGCGGCAAGCAGGCCAATCAATGGAGTGCAATGAGCTGATCTAGCAAAAGTTGTGCGGTTCCTGTTCTTCGAAATCCGTTTGGCCACCCTTGAGGGTTAACGATAGACCAAAACAGGCCCTCAAACATATCCGAAAAGCAAACAGAACACCGACAGATTTGTGACTCAAACTTGCGGAAAATCCCCGTAGGTGGCAAGCAAAAACAGGGCCTTTGATATACAGAGAGAGGCGCCGGACAACAAAAAGGTGTTTGCTCCTGGTTTTCCTTTAAAGGCTCACCACACTCAGCCCCCCCCCCCCCGGGAAAAATGTCTTTGACCCCTTGGAGTCCATGCAGTTCCTTTCGATCGAAAGCACTGAGCCCAAAACGTGGCCATGAGGGGAAATCCGCCTGGCACTCGCTTCTGGTGGTTGATTCACAGACGAAATGTTCGGCAAAACATTTGGAAGAAAGGAGCGCCCCAGATCTCAGATCTGGGAGTAGAACGGCAGAACGGGTCTGGACAATGGAACCCTGACGCCACAGCGGTCTTAGAACCAAAGTTCATGCGCTTCTTAAGGAGCTGCTACCCCTTCTTCCCGCTGTTTGTCTGAGTTTTTTGTGGACAACCCAAGAGTTGAAGACCCACATACCAAATTTTCGGGGCACCCCGGTCCAACCCAAAGAAACGCCCCCCCCTTCCCCCCCCCCCCCCTTTGCCCCCGCCCTCAAAACCGGCGAAACCGAGCGGCCCGCCGCCGCCGCCACGTGGGCCGCCGAGCGCCCGTAGCGGTTGCAGGACTCGACGTCCGCGCGGCTGGCCAGGAGCAACCGCGCCACCCGGGTGTCGCCCAGTTGGATGGCCAGCTGCAGCGGGCTGTTCCTTGTGCTCTCCTCTTTCTGTGCGTGTTGCTCTTCTTCTCGGCTTTAATTTTTAGGGGGGAGGGAGTGAGTTGCGCTTCTTTGGTGTTGCAAAAAAAAAGGGGGAGGGCTGTTCTTTGGGTTCTCCTCTTTCTGCAGCTCCTTGTGCTTCTTCTTGTTAGGGGAAGGGTGCTCCTTCGAGTCTGTTCCTTGGGCTCTCCTCTTTCTGCAGCTTTTTTCTTGTGCTTCTTCTCGTTTTATTTTTGTCTTTTTAAGGGGGGGAGAGTGTGTTGTGCTTGTTTTTTGTCTCTTGTGTTTTTTTTGTTAAAGAAAAGGGGGAGGGGTGTTTGCTCAGGAAAGGGTGTTCCTTGGAGTTTCTTTCGTTTTCTTGGACTCTGCCTTTTTCAATGCGGGAGGCAGGTTCCTTCCAACTCCCAGTGTCTTGGGTGGAGGGAACAATGATGTTCCATGTTGATCCCCTGCGAAATGTGACTCACTTTCGGTGGGGACAAGACAGACACCTCCACCAAACCAGAACCTAAAAGTTCAAGGGGCCAAATGTCTGGGAACCGCCGAGGTTCTTGGGCGTGTGTTTCCCCCCCAGCTGCAGGCTTTGAGGTGGGTAGGCCCAAGTAAGAGCTCCGAAGCGCTCGTGCTTTCGGAGCTTTTGAAATGTTGGTTGCCGGAAAGCTGGGGTTCCTGGGCTCTCAGGTTCTTGGAGGTTTGCTTCAGATTTGAACGAGAGAACACGTGTTTCAACGGACGTGGCTTTTCCTGGCCATAGACTTGGACAAAAAGACACATGATTTGTTCGTGGGGCTCAAGGGGAAACGGAACAGGAACTGGCACTCGGGTTCCAGGTTACACATCACCCAAAAAAAGGAAACCGACTGAAGCCTACTACTTAAAACTAAGCCAAAGCGGAAATATGACACCAATGTGGGGTCATTCCATGACTACTTCATCATTTTGAAGGGCAATCCCTTCTTGGGCGGTCGGCCAATGTGGTGACTTGAGGAACCTAGGCTCCAAGCCCCTTATAGGTCCCTCTAAGTGTGGTTCATCTTGTTATCAGGTGGTTATAACTTAATAACCCAAGTGGCCAACAACTTACAAACGTGGCAACGAACATGCAAGTTGGTACCACCGAAACTAGCCATAACTGACATTCCACAACTCCAATGGAGGTAGATGTCCAAGCAGGCGGCAAGCTAGCAGGCATGTTGCATTCCCTCATATGCAGTGCGGCGATCATCGAAGGGATTTGAAAGAAAGTCCTCTTACAAAGGCCTCTTCTCCCCTAGGATTGGAAACGGGTGGAGACCCACGGGCCTTGAACCCCCCAACCGTAAACCCCAAAACCCGGAAGAACCCATCAGTCCAAACCGAGTATCCTCACTCAACCTCTGAAAACCCAACGAAAAGTCATAAACCGAAGGCCAACCTGAAGGCCAACCCGAAGGCCAGCGATGCCAACCGATGCATCAGGTCTCTGATCTTCGTCCTGCGCGTCTAAAATGGCCTTTGCGGCCACCACCAGCTCCACCAGCTCGCAGAGGACCTGGCGAAACGTCGCTTGTTTTCCGTGTCTCTGGTCAGCCACTTGGGTTATTAAACATGGGAACTCCAAGAAACCGATCATTTCTACTTGGGTGTTTTGTTACTTGGGTGAACATGCGGGCCCCCTTAAAAACCTATCATGGTCTACTTAGTGGTGTTCAAGTTGCCAAGTTAGTGGTTTGTCACTTGGGTTATAAAACCCTAATAACGAGGTTAACCCCACTGAACGCAGCACTTATAGGGTCATAACCTAGGTTAGCAAGAAGGAGATGGAATTCGTTTGCCTTCACCAAAGGGGCACTCTCGTGCCCCTCAAAACATTATTGCAAGGGAAGCTCACCATTTTTGGGGCCGTGGTGTAACCACGCCACCAATCCCGAACCGGGCTGAGGTGTTTCGGGTGACAAACCCCATCAAGCCTCTACAACAGGGATCCTTAAATGAAAAACACCTGAGCATTGCCTTGTAAATGGTGGTTTCCCTTTATTTTGGTGGAAAAAGCCATGTTTCAAATGGGCAAAGTGTATCTTTCAAGAACCAAACCTTCAAATCCCGCAAACCACCAAATAGGGCTTAGCTGAATTCGGGGGGTTTGGTCCGAAAGTTCCGACATGGATAGGTCAGAAGACGTCCCTGCTTCAGCTGACCAAAAAGAAACAGCGCCTCTCACAAGCTTTTGCTTTTTGGTGTACTCAGGTGTATTGAAGTGTATTACATCCTTCTGACTGCCCTGCAAAGTGACCTGGAGCCCAAAAGAGGGGCCCCGCAAAATGAGCTTCGTCCACTGGGGTGTTCGGCCAAGTTAGTGCGCAAGTTGTTGGTAACCAAGGGTATGACCCACTTATAAGTCTCCCGTTATTGGGGGGTTCTATCCCAAGTGACAAACCACAGACACTAACTTGGCAACGAACACCCAAGTAGAGAATGATAGGCTTTTGGAGTTCCTTGTGGGCTTGTCTCAAAACAGGGAACCCGCAACATAGTTAGCGTCCATTTGGTTTCCTCGAAACCGCCCTAAGAAGGTGCCCTCAAAAAAAAAAAACGGACCCCCTTTCAGACCCCTAATCTAAATTAAAAAGGGAAAAAAAGGCCCATGCTTAGCTAAGAGAAAGGGGTACTGTGGATGGACGAAATCCCGCACCACTTTGAAACCATGGGAAGCCATTGTTTGTTGGTATTTACAGGGGAATCATCATTCCAGGCTTTCTTAGGTGGTGCAGGATGTCGTCCATCCACAGTATCGAGTGAGCCGTCTGAAAAAAATCCTCGGGAGGATGTGTTTTCCTCGCCGGGTCGGACCTGCCGCTGCACGGCGCGCAGCAGCACAGAGCCAGCGCCGCCCGCTAAGTTTTCGGGGTCGATGTCCACCTGGAGCCGAAGAATCGGCCTTTTGCCCCCGGGAAAAAGGAGAAAAATAGGTCCTTCTCCCAGTTGTTCCAAGGACCCTGCTAGAAAAAAGGACACCCTTAGTTCCCATTTGCTCTTTCGGCCCCTGGAAAGAATAAAAACCTGTCCAATGGTGGTAGAGTCCCTTCAAAACCAACGGGGCAAAATAAAACGTCTTCTTAAGCAAATGGAAGCGTAAGGGCGGTGGAGCCGCCAAACAGAGAGGCACTCATCGTCAAAAGTCCCACGGCCATCGGCTCTGATAAGAACCCTTCACAGTGGCTCTTGCATAAGTGCCTTTTTCAGGGATCCTTACATGAAAAACACCTGAACATTGCAACTTGTAAATGCCTTTTTGTTGAACCAACACTTCAACTTGAACCATTGTGATCTTGCATGGTTGTTGTTGTGGCGTTTGAAGGGAAACCACAAGAAACGAAGGGGTCCCACCTGAAAAAAGGCTAACAGGGCACAGGTATATGGGCTTCCCGGCGTGGGCGTCGGTGGTCATTTTGCAAGACTCCCCTTGTCACCGATCCCCAAACAGGGTATACAAAAAGGGCCCGAGTTTCTGTCGGCTGAAAAGTCCAAGGGGTGAACATTGGAATCCGGAAAAAGGCGGACCCTCAGGAAGTCCACAAAGGTGTGCTTGCTTGGTGAGAAAGAGAAAACGTTGGTTGTTTTTGTGAAAGCAAACACATTGGGCTTTGGTGATGTTTATATGAAACAAGAAAAAACAATGGCGTGTGGTGCGTTGGTTTATCAGTTCCAATGGCGCCCAATTCAAAGTTGCCAGCCAAGCAACGCCACAGGTGTAGTCCACTAAAAATGGGTTGCCACGAAAGGGCCCTGGATTTGCTTCAGCCAAGCCAACCAGAAACCAACTTCAGAAACCGACCAAAACAACTTAGCCCTCAAACTCAAACTTCATATGGGATCGTGTTTCTTGGGAAGACCCCCCAAAGTGGGTGGGTGTTCAGTTTGCTTGTCCTAAACCACAGAACCACGCGAGTGCCTTGCAAAAAAGCATGCCCATAGTCTAGGGAATGATTCCGCATTCCTTTCAAGCATTGTTCTTTTCAAACACCAGCCGTTTTCCTGGGTGTTTGATGGTTTTCTGGAAAGAAGGATCCCTGGAAAGCATGGGGAAATAGAGGCTTCTTCTGGACCTTTTAGCCGGAAAATCTGAGTCCCCCGCATTTCTCTCTTCACGTCTCAGGCATCTGGGCCTTCCGTTTGCTTAAGTCCCCTGGAACAAAAAATATGTTTCCACTAGTGATAAATTAAATTAACACATATTCATTTCAGCAAATGGAAGGGGCATCTGCCCGCATCTCCCCGCATCCCGCATCTCCCCCGCCTGGGCGTGAAACTCCAGGAGCAGCTGCATCGCTTGCATGTTGCCCGCGTTCACCGCCAGCATCAAGGGCGTCTCGTTGCCGCGGTTAAGGATGTTGGTGCAGGCCTTGCACTCGCTTGGGGATGACTCAAAATTTATTAGACCACCAAAACGGCATTTGGATTTCACTTGACTTGGGTCTGAAAATTAGGTCACCCACAAAAAAAATGGAACTTTGTTTCGGTCAGCCAAAAAGACAAATCGACCCGCTGGCTGATTCCTGGCCCCACAGCTTTGGTGGCCTTGACCGCTTCCAAACAGACTGAGTAGATTGGGATCCCCAAATGTGGAAACCCAGAGGGTCTGTCTTTGAATGAAGAATCCTTGCGGGCACAACACAACAGAGCACTAAAGGAAAGCCGAATGTTGGGTTGGATAGACGAACCCATTGCGTCCTAGCAACCAAATGAACGCCCCAAACTGAACACCAACCAAGCGAGTGGTGGGCTGCAGGAATGCTTGAGTTGGAGGGGGTGCACCAACCGCGCTTCACAACAGCTTTCCAACCACCACAGAAATTGTTCCTACCACGACTCGGAATTATTTTCCCCTGTGTTGGCACCGTTTTTTGCTTCTTCTTTAAAAAAAAAAAAGTGATTGCATTGTTCCTGTCCTTATTATTTTGGGATATTCCAATAAACGCTCACAAGCTTACTTCTTCCACCTCCATTTGTTGTTTCGCAGCCTGGGACAAGTGAGACAATATGTCCAGTAGTGCTAGATTCCAACTTTAAAATCAACAAGAATAAAATTGAGAACATAGATTTCAACTTTAAAAGCAACAAGGGAAAATCAAAAGAACTCAGCAAATGGACATAAAGTGGTCCACGGATTCTTTCTATCGGCCTGCGCTTCCACCAGGATCCGGATCATGAGATTCTGCCAGTTCATCACCGCCACGTGCAGCGCCGTGTTCCCCGCGCCGTCCTTTTGGGTCGTGGTTTTTAACAACCTTTTTCGGGCAGCCAGGGTCTGGTTGGTTGCAAGTTCTGCACCACACAACCTGGTGAGCTTTAGAATTCTCATTAGAATCAGTCAGAAGGCTGGTGAAGGATGAAGTCCTTACAGCCAAGCCGCAAGGGAACTGAGACGTGAGAGTGGACTTCAAGGGGTGGTTGGTGCCCCCAAACGTGAACCGGTTTTCAGTCCCCCTCCAACCAAAATAAGAAGTTCAAAGGCGTCTTGTGGTTGGCCGTTTCGGGCCGTGTTTTGGCTCCTTCCGGTCGATTTCGGTTTTGTTTGTTCTTCCTCTGGTGGCTTCGCCACCTAGGTCCTCCAGTAGAGAGGTCAGAATAAGGGTACCCTTTTTCCTGTAGTCTATTTTAGCAGGGGAACCCTCCCCAAAAAAAGAACTAATTGCTGACCTCGACACCCGCCTGGGTGTCAGTGTCAGCCCCATGACTCACCAGCATCCGGCACAAGCCCACCACCCCCTGCAGCGCCGCGAGGTGTAAGGCGCTCCGCCCATAGCGGTCCTGCCACTTGGCACCAGAAGACTCTTGCGATCGATCTGTGCGAGTAGGTAGCTAGGTCCTCCAGTAGAGAGGTTTGAATAAGCTTGTACCCGACATTTGTTCGGTAGTCGAATCTTTAGTAGTGGAACCGTCCCCCCAAAAAAGGGTAAAAAGGCAATACTGGGAGAGCTAGGTAGGTAGGGAATGTGGTTGAACGAACAGCCACCCCTTGCTGGTGCGATAGGTAGGGAATTGACCCAGGGTGTTGGGAATGTGTTCGGGTTTAGGGGAGTCCTGAATAAGGGAAACCACAAGAGTTGGATGGTTCTTCTTGGGGTCATTCCATGTCTCATTCCCTGCATCGCTCGCACGAGCAAGAACAAGCCCAGGTTTTTGAGCGTTTTCCGGGTTTGGATTCCTTCGGAT